TTTTGCATGCCCCAAAGTGCGGGCACAACTTGAAAAACATGTCCAAAAGTTTATCTTTTTTTTTGGGAATTTTTAACATGTGAAAAAACGCAAGGGGGTGGATAGCACTAGGCAGACACTTGACTGCATTTTTCTTCTCTTATATAATGCCAAATTTCCGTCTCTTGAGTTTTATATGTATATACTCTTCCCTGCTCCCTGTGCTGCCTTCCTGTCTCCCTTCCACCTTCTCTCCTGCTCTTTCCCACTCTCTATCTGTCCATTCTCTTATCACGCGGCACGCAGTGAAAAAAATGCATTTTTTCTGTCAACGTCAGCTGCGAATTCACTGTTTTTTTTTGCCTCTGTGTTATTTCTTTCTTGCAATAGTTTTCTGGGGCGTAAAAGGGAGGAAGTGATGGGGAAAAGGGTGCCTAGAGAGGGGCTTTGTGAGGGGCACAATGCGTTTTGGCATCTTACGTACACGAATCACGATCCAAATACTTTTTCTGAGGGAATATGAATACGATTATGAATATGAATGCGATTATGATTATGTGTGTGAATATGAGAATAATTTGCTGTCTGATTATGCAGTTTTATTTTATGTCATTTCTATTTGCATTATATACATATATATCTTCCTTTGTATTTGTGGTTTTGGATAGAGCTCTCTGGGGATATCATTTCATCGAGTTGATTTTATTTTATTGTTTTATTTATTTTTATTGTTTGCCTTTTGGTTTTTCTTTTTCACGCTTTGATTTTGTATTTGTATTTGTGTATCTGACAGATACAGATACATGAGCATTAAGCGAGTACGAGTGTTGGAAATCGTAAACCCCTCTTTTGCGCTGCCTCTCAGAGGTAGGCAAATCCAAAACCCAAGCCGGAGGGACAGCTGCACTCCACAGAAGAGAGCAGAGCCAGAGCCAAGCCCCACCACTGTCGTTCGGTGTCACTCCATGGAACACTGCCACACGATGCCCATTCCATTCCATTCTCCGATACGATACGATCCGCACTCCTCTCTGGTTTCCCCCCCACCCCCTCTATTGTTGACTTTACCTTTGAAAAGATTTTCACATTTTTATACCCGTACTCAAAAAGAGTTAAGGGGTATATTAGATTTGTGGTAAAAGTGGATGTGTGTAACGCAGAGAAGGAAAATTTTCCGACCCCATAAAGTATACATATTCTTGATCAGCATCAATAGCCGAGTCGATAGAGCCATGTCTGTCTGTCCGTCTGTCCGTCTGACCGTCTGTCCGTCTGTCCGTCTGTCTGTCTTGTTGAGCGCCTAGATCTCAGAGACTATAAGAGCTAGGGCAACCAAATTTTGTTTCCAGACTCATGTGATATCCCACTGCTACAAGTGTATTTCAAAATTTCGACCCGCCCCCTTCCGCCCCCATAAAGAACGAAAATCTGTGCCAGGCACATTTTTAAAGATACGATAAAACTAAAAACGCATTATCGTAGAGAATGATCATATATACCAGACTGCCGAATCTGAATCAGATCGGATCATAATTATAGTCAGAATGAAGAAATTAATTTTCAGACGCTTCCCCTGCCCACTCCAGACGACGACAACACAACTCATTTTCCATCTCGCTCGCACACTGTGCCGCGTTCAGTGCGCGAGCAACCCCTAGCGGAGGAGATGTAGAATCTGAATGGTACATGTATAATCTACATGTTAGATGTAGAATATACATAATATATGTAGATGTAGATAACAGATGTAGCAAAAAAATGTAAAATGTAAAATTTTTTTTTTTAATGCTAAAACTCTAAAATATCATATGTTCAAAAATGTAAATACTGACTGAGTACGGGTATAAGTAGAGTCGCGTCTTTAGAAGCGACTCACACGTTCCTTCTCGTTTGTTTTTGTTGTTTGTTGATTATTTTTACAAATTCAGCGATTCCTTCGAGGAGAGTTTTGCTTTTACATAAATATATGGCATAAGCCTTTTTGGGTTTGCTTCGACTTTTGTTTATTTGTTTCTTCCCCTCTCTCTCTCTCTTTGTGTGTGTACATTTTTGTTTGGCTCTATTTGCTTTAAAGCTTTTAAGAAGAAAAAAAACAAATGCAAAGAGTGGAGGAGAAAGAGAGGGTAAAGAGTGGGGAGTGGGGAGGGCACTCCTCTCCGAAATGATTCACAAATATTTTCCATAGTATTTTTATTGCCGCAATCATCCATCGGTCTTTAAGTCTTTCATTTGGCCCCGCAGGCGACATCAAAATGCTGACAAACAAACACTTCCTGCTAACCGAAACAAACACCACACCACACCACACCACCTGCAATGCAACTCACGCCACTGCCCTCCCCCTCCCCCTCTGTGCTGTTGCCGCCCCCTTTTAATGGCCTGCCTAATCGATTTCTCCTCTCTCATTCTGGTCAATTTTCTGTGTCGTTTTTCAGGCTCCATTAGTGCATGTCATTAATTTGCATAGAGAATCTGCTTTTGCTGCTGCTGTTGCTGCATGCCACAACAGTTAGAATCAGCGATGCAACGATGTGGTTGTTGCTGCCACAAGATGCAAGATGCAAGAATATGATGATGATGCTTTCAGGCATTTTACTCGTTTGGCTGAGTTTTTAATAACATTTTGATCGAATCTTCACCAGCCATGGAGTAACGCCTCGTTTCGGTAATCAATAAATAAAAATTGAATTGGGCAGAACGAATATGGGGAATACCCTACGAAATTATGCGATGTTTTTTTTGTATATAATAGAAGAAGTTGAGGGAATACAGAGAGAAATCGGAAAGTTGTCTGGTGAAGAGTCATTCTTGTTCTATATCCTGTAGAACATTCCCTAAGAAAACATAGAAAAATGTATTCTTTTATATACAGAAATTGGTAGTAGAAACATAACGCGATTTATTTAATTGTAGAATATCGTATTATCCAATCGAAATATAATTTTAAAGTAACAGATATTTTCCTTAATCGAAATTTAAACATGAATCTGACCTTCTTAATAGACCAACGTCTAAGCAAAGTACCCTACGAGTATTCCCTGTTGCCAAGTGAAAGAGTAGAGTACACGATGGCTAAGAGCCAACGGGCAAAACATGTCTCGTGGACATCTTATAGATACACAGATAGTTAGATAGATGGTCGTAGCACATCAGCAGGAATGACCGTCACATCGGCACATCGGCGGTGCCTATCGTCACTTAAATTGCTATCATCTCTCGTTAAGCATTCTGATTTATGGCTGAGAATGGAGCACCGACTGGAGGTGCCCCCATATGATGGGGAGACATTCTCTGTGGCGCTCTGTCTTTGGTTCCTGCTCTGTGGGATGGGGTGACTGCTGCTTGCTGCTCACTCACTCAATTAAAACTGTATTAAATGTAAAATGACTTGAAAAGCGGCTAAAAAGACGACATGACAGCGACAGCCACCGCCCCAGCCCCAGAGCCAAAGCCAAAGACATCCACTAGAGGATGCATCATCTAACCGGAGCGTGAGAAGGTAGAGGGGAAACCGGTAACCGGTTGGTCAGGACAACTCAATCTCTTGGCTGAAAGCGGGCCTCAAACAGGGGTTTGTGATAGAGAGAGGATAGGAGGTGGAGGAGGAGATTGTGTGGCACAAAAAACAATTTGCAAGCTTTTTGATTAAAGTGGCAACTAATTGAAACTACGAGTACGGGTAATCGTTGGGGGTTGGTTGGGTGGGTACCCAAAGCATCGACTACGTGACTGGAAAATGCTAGGGAATATCATTGAAACAAGTTAATAAACACTCTTGAGAGTTTGCTGCACAACAAATCATTATAATCAAATGAAAAATGGATATATAATTTTTTGAAACTAAAGATGGATTGGAGAATCTTAGTTCCTTAAGGGGAAAGTTAGGATACCCGCCACAGAATTGAGCGACTAGATTTAGAGGCACTCATTTAGAGATATACAATTAGATTTTTAGATTTAATGTAAAGAGTATCTGTCGGGGCTCCCCTTTAAGATATCATTCATAGAACATTCCTTGCCTTTGGATAAGTCATGCTTAAACTGTTCCAGCTAGAGTGGAGCACTCCTCCTGATTTTATAAGAGTTCTTTTTAATGTTCTTTAAGGCATCTCCTTTATGGAGTCTCTTTTTTGCAGTCCTTCTTCTCCTTGGATTCCACCTCTTAGTCACCTTTTAAAAGAGGTTCCAAACTGCGAGCAAAACAAGTATAGATAGATCTACTCTCTATAGAATCTCCCTGCAGTTGCCGCTCCCTCCCCGTGCCCCCCTTCGATTAGACACTGTATCTGGCGTTGCCGGCCATGTTCTTGAATGAGTGAGAGATACTTGTACTCGCTGCTATTTGTGGCATGATGTTTACCTTAAATACTTGACACTCTGATTGAGGAGCAGACACATTACCACACTTGAGGTTGATGCCACCACCTCCACCTCCTTCCCCTTCCAGCTGCACTCCAGACAGAGTCGCCTGCTGCTGCTGCTCCTCCTCCTTCTCGTTCCTCCTCCCCCCCCATCTTGTGAGTGCCTTCTATTGTTTGATTTCATTGAAAGTCTACTATATATTGTTGTGGCTGTTGGCTATGGCTTTTGTTTAAATAATCACTTTTCATGCGTCGCAGTTTGTTGACGCTGCCGCCGTCGGCACCGCCTGTCTGTGGGGTGCACGGCCAGTGTCAGTGGCAGAGAGAGAGAGAGACAGATAGAGAGAGAAATGCACTAACCGACAACGCCTTCATGGCCATCAGTAACGTCATCGACATCGGCAATCGTTGGGGTCTCTGTGGGTCTCTCTCAACGCTAGAGCTTCTCTGCTCTGGAAGTGCATTAAACAGCCTTCAATGGCGCAATAATAAAACGTTTTTAAAGCAATGAAAAACAACACCCCACCGCACCATGCCATCCGATCCCATGCCATGCCATGCCCCACATTTGACCTCGATCTTTGCCACCACCACAGATTAACCGAAAGATTAAACAAAGACTTAACTTCTCTTTCTCTCTGTATGTTGCATCTGTTGCAGGGCCGTCACACAAAGACTGGACAATTGGCTGCCATAAAGGTGATGGATGTCACCGAGGACGAGGAGGAGGAGATCAAGCTGGAGATCAATGTGTTGAAGAAATACTCAAATCATCGCAACATTGCCACCTACTATGGGGCGTTCATCAAGAAATCTCCACCGGGAAAGGACGATCAGCTGTGGCTGGTGATGGAGTACTGTGGCGCTGGCTCCGTGACGGATCTGGTTAAATCCACCAAGGGACAGAGCCTCAAGGAGGAGTGGATCGCCTACATATGCCGCGAGATCCTGCGCGGCCTCAGCTACTTGCATTCGAACAAAGTCATCCATCGGGACATCAAGGGCCAGAATGTGCTCCTCACAGACAATGCGGAGGTGAAGCTGGTGGATTTTGGTGTCTCGGCGCAACTGGATCGCACGATAGGCAGAAGGAATACATTCATTGGTGAGTCAGAGCTCCAACTGGTGTCCACCCTGTGGATTATTAACTGCTAAACATCTCTCTCTCTCTCTCTTTCTGTTCTGTCGCTATGCAGGTACACCCTATTGGATGGCGCCGGAGGTCATTGCCTGCGACGAGAATCCCGATGCCACATACGACAATCGATCGGATCTGTGGTCGCTCGGCATCACTGCCTTGGAGATGGCTGAGTCACAGCCGCCGCTGTGCGATCTGCATCCGATGCGTGCCCTCTTCTTGATTCCGCGCAACTCGCCGCCGCGCCTCAAATCGAAGAAATGGTCCAAGAAATTCCATGGATTCATTGACACGGTGTTGGGTGAGTCATCCGTCCATCTGCCTGCAAGGGAATCCCTGGCCTGGCTAATCGAGTGCCGCTTTCTTCTACATTTACAGTGAAGGACTACCATCAGCGGCCTTATACCGAGAATCTGCTGAAGCATGGCTTCATCAAGGATCAGCCGACGGACCGGCAAGTGCGCATCCAGCTGAAGGACCACATCGATCGCTGCAAGAAGCGCAAGCAGGAGAAGGAGCGCGAGGACTATCGCTACTCGGGCAGCGACAACGACGACGATGAGCCGCAGCTGGCGGGCGAGCATAGCTCCATTGTCCAGGCCCCGGGCGGCGACACCTTGCGCCGCAACTTCCAGCAGATCCAGGAGGGCCGTCTCGCGGCCGAACAGCAGCAGCAGCATCACCAGCTGATGGCCCATGCCCATGCGCAGGCAGCGGCCGACCATGCAGCCGCCCAGGCCCAGTTGCACCAGCAACAGCAGCGACAGGCAGCCGCGGCGGCGGCGGCGGCAGCAGCAGAGGCACATGCAGCAGCGGCATTTGCAGCGCAACAGGCACAGGCGCAGGCAGCGGCAGCCGCGCAACAGCAGCAGCAGCAGCAACAACAGCAGCAGGCACAGGCGCAACAGCCGCAGGCGAATCGACAGCAGAAACCGCCATCGGTAGGAGAAGTGGGATCCCTCTATCCCTGTCCCTTTAGTAGCCTCGATTTAATCCGATTTGAATTCTCCTTTGGCTCTGTAGCGCCAGCAGATCGAGGAGCCAGGTCCGCCGGCACGTCCACAAATACCACAGCGTCTGATTGTGGTGCCAGATCCACCGCATGCCAATCGGCCATTGCCACCGACCCCGAAGTGCGGCGGAGGAGGAGGCGATCAGCCAGCGGGTCAGACGCCACAGCAGCAGCAGCGCAACTCGCAGAATAACTTCAAGCCATCGGTGCGTATCGGTAGCAGGAGATTAACGCGGAGAGGCTGCTGATAACAGCTGCTCCTCTCTGGGGGGGGGAGGAAGGTCTTTCTAGAGCAATGACACTTGCAAAAGAAGAGCTCCAGAGAGGGGGGAGCTCCTCCCTAGAGGAAACATACAGAGATCCCTCCTTTGGATAGAATATTCATACATATATCTGCATATCCCCCCCGTAATGTTGCGTCCCCCCATTCAGAAGTAGTTTCGATTTTTATGTTTCGCTCATAAGTAATCCCCCAATTTCTTATTCTTCTTTTATTTTCATGTATTTTGTGCGCCTACATATATATATATATATATAATATCTATATAAATCTCTCGATTTATGATTTCAACTCATCAATTTCCCCCCGTTGCCGTCGTTCGTATCGTAAATCCAACGTATGATTTTCATTCAAACAAAACACACAACAACAAAATACACAAAACATTATAAAAACACACACACAAATAAAACAACAACAACAACCACAACAGTTACCACCAAGGAGACCTGAGGTATGTCTGTCCAACGACTTTCCGCTGAGGAAGCCGCCGCCTGTTGCATTTGTTCTTCTGTTTTCCTTTTTTGCGTTTAACTGCTTGAATTTTCCTATATACATATATATAGTGTACATTTCCATTGATGTGTGCAGTGCGTTAGAGAACTGCAGTTGGGGCTAGATTCAAGCGATCTGCACATAAATAAATGATTGTAAAATTATACAAAAAATTCAATTCAAATTCAATAATTCAGATATTCTGATTTAATGGATCGCTTTGAATATCCCACACTCAAAAGTTCTACAATGCACTTCATATAATGATTGTTTTCCATCCATCTGTAAAACCCTAAAACCACAAATCCCCTCCTATCCCAACCAACGTTTTGAAATCAAATTCGAAATTCATGTACAACTTTATATGGAGGTACAAAAAATATAAAATAAAATAAAACACTTTTGCACGTGCCACTAATACCACTTTTTAAACCCCAACCCAAATGATATCAAATTGATCCACAAACTAACCAAAAAAGTAGCAGAGACTGGTGTTGATTTTAAACTAACTTTAAATTGAGTTTTCTGTGTGATTCTAAGACCGCAGTTTTGGAATCAACTAAAGATCTAACGAGAACAATGTTTGCCGTCCACTAACGAAGCTTTCTAATCGAATCTACTGTTCCATTCCATGCAACGATCAAAGATTATAGAACACATTTGAAGAAACAAATGTAACGAAGAGAATGAGTTTTATAATCACTGCACTGATTTTTCTGCATCTGAAGCTAAATTTCTAATCGAATCTTTTTGCTCCCGTAATGAAATAATTATCTTCCTGATTGCCTAAACATTTCTAACCGAATCGAATCTCTGTAGCCCACAAATCTGTTCTTTATGCGGACGAAAGTTTTGCTAGCTTTCTGTATCTATAAGAAAGAACTCTTATGTTGAAGGAAAACCAATCTAATTCTCAATTATATTTCGTTCCCCCATGCCCCAAAAACAAAACAAAACAAAAACTGTGGTATTATGTGCAATCTACACACACAAACACACGACACACACACACACACGACACACTACATCACACACACGAACATAAACACACGAAAATCCTCCAAAAAAAAATGTTGTCCAAACAAATCGAAAACAAAAAAAACCGAAAACAACCGAAAACCGAAACAAAACAAATGTACTATATAAAACTGTAGGATCATTTGGATGTGTTAGCAGCACAATTAAATGAATTGGGCGTGGTCTCCTCCCAACAGCCGCAGCCACAGACAGCAGCAACAGCAGCCGGAGGTGCAGCCGGTGCAGGGGTACAGCAGCAGGCGGCCCAACCAGAGGCGCCACCACGCAACAATCGGGGGTCCAGTTCCGCTTCGGGTGGTGGAGGAGTAGGATCATCCGCATCGAAGCCAGCCGCCGTACTGCCGCAGCAGTCCAACAATCATCTGGGACAGCCCGTGAATCCGTTGGATCCATTGGACAGCAGCGATTCGGACAGCGAGCCGGATGAGCCGAACGATCGGGCCCGGAATGATGGCACTCTGTTGGCCAGCGATCCGCCCAAGCCGCTGTAAGTACCACACACACAAAGAAGGGGGCGTGAAAAACAAAACAAAATAAAGAAAGAAAAGCATTTGCAAGTAGATCACGTATCAATCATCTCTCTATCTCTCTCTCTCTGGATACTAACCCAAACTTCACTACATTCTTGTCTCTCACTTGTTTAAACAATCCATTTTACACCCTACACCTTGAAACGATCCCAATTGAAACTCACTTCCATTACAAAAACCACCAAAAAACCACACCAAAAAACCACACCAAAAACCACACCGAAAACCCACCTAAAATAACCTGCCATCAAAATTCACACTATACCCACACCAAAACCAACAAAATCCCATCAAAAATCCACCTCAAACACATTAAAATCCTATATCAATCCACCAAAAACACTCACATGAAACCCACCTGAAATCCCTTTCCCAATCCCATTCATTTTCATTCATCAACAAAACGATTTGCCGCCCCTTTTTTGTTTGTTTTTCGTTTGGTTTTCCGTTTTGTTCAGACCCGAATTTTCATATAGGCCTGGCCTGGGACCCGTCTCCGAGGATGGCAATACGACAACGCCGCTTGGCAGCCATGGAAGCGGAGGACCGCCCAACCGGCCACTGCCCCCAACGCCCGACGACGATGATCAGGCAGGAGATCGTACGCTGATCATGAAGCGCGTAAGTACTGCTAAAATAAGTGGAAAACAATCCGAGAAAACCGATCTATACTTTCTTTATTTCAACATATATACGTACGATACGGTATATGAGTATGATTCTATCGTTTTAGTTTAGTTTTTAGTTTCGTATTGATTTAAATGAAGAAAATGAGATCTAAAATGAATATCGGGGGTGAAATCAGTGGAAGATATAGGACAGGCCCCCCCCGCCCCCGAGTCGTTAATGCGATTGTACAAATTGTAAACTATAGCTTTTGTAGGGTTAAAGGAGCCAATCAATCTAATCAATCCAACAATCAAAACAATCAATGAAGCGTAATATAAATCTAAGTTTTTTCTACTTTTGACTTTTGGTTGCGGTTTTCCTTTTTAGATACAACTTTTTTCAAAACAGTTTTTTAATTTTTTTCATTTAAGGTTTAGCTTAAAATATATATTTCTCTTTTACTTACTAAATTTTTATCAGAAATAATTTTATTAATTTTATAATTAATTTCTCTATATATATTTTTGAGTAATTTTTATTATGGCGTAAAAAACAGTGTGAAATCTTTTTCGTGAATTATTCTTTTGAAACAAATTTTGATTTTATTGTGTGTAAAAATATTTATCGTATCCTGATTGAGCAAAAAATGTGTGATGTTTGCATCTATGAAATAATATACATATGTATTTCTGTATTTATCCGTATCTACATAAATATATCTATCTATCCATCTATCTATATATATGCACTGGTGCGCATAGAATGTTTTACACCGATCGAAGCAAATCGAATGTTGTATATATACATATATAGAAAAAGTATTGCACCCCAAAAACCAAGACAAAAAAAATACAAAAAAATCGATATCTCACACAGATACAATACACTCACACACACACTCGCATAAACATACATATAGTATATACCTACATCCATGTCTATAGAATGGAGAGAAGATGATCTTTTCGAGAAGGAGAATTCATGAAAAATGTTACATGCTGTTGTGGTGGGGTGGGGCATAGAATCCTCCCTTTAGATCCAATATTTAATCGCCTCTAAGTATGCAACAGACAACAACAAACAAAAACCAAAATACTAAACACACAAATTCTTCTCTTGCGCTGCTACTTACAACAACAACCAACCAACAAAAACAACAACAACAACTACTACTCCTACCCGAAACAACCCCCCTTCGATAAACCCCCCGATCCATGCAACAAACACACACACACAACAGAAACTCGAACAGAATATAAATCGCCTGCAAAAGTCGGCATCCGCTGCCGCTGTGCCACGAAAGGAGGAGGCAAAGCTGCTCAGGGACTGGGACTTTGATCGATTCTTTTCGAAGAGCGGAGCGGGCAGCACCAGCAATGGAGCGGCAGCACCAGTAGCAGCACCACGTGGCAGTGGCAGAGCCAGCGGTGGCAGTGGAAGTGGAAGCAGTGGCAGCCCCACAACGACGGCCAGCCTCACTCGTAGCTCGCAACAGAGCACGCTCAAGGTGGAGACGAAGCTGCAGAGGGCCAGTGTGGCGGAGGCCATCACCAGGCCAGTGCCCAGGGGCTATCAGCCGCTGAAGGGTGCAGGTGCAGGTGCAGGCGCTGGCGCTGGCGCAGGCACAGGTGCCACAAGTATTGCCAAAGAACGGGGAACTGCCGCTGGAGCCGCAAGCAGCAGCACTTCAAAGTCGCAGCACAAACGCCAGGAGTCGGACTCCAAGCTGCCGATGAATTTTGTGCGCAGCTTTAGGCGTGAGAACTCTGACTTCTTTCCGCTAACCAAACGCCACTCTGCAGTGCTGAGTGGCACCACCAGCAGCAACAACAGCAGCAGCAGCAACAGCGGCGGCACAGCCTCCACACAGCAGCTGCAGTCGCCACAAATGGTTCAAGCCAACCAGCGAGCCAGTGCCATGTACCAAAGGAACAGCATTTACAACAGCAGCAGCAGTGCCACAGCCAGTGGCAGCAGCAAGAGCAAGACCACCTCTCCAGCAGCAGCAGGAGCAGGAGCAGTGGCTGCCAAGTCGGGAGCAGGAACTCCTGCCACTCCTGCCACCAAATCCAGTTGGGCGAATCTTGATTTCTTGCGTCCGCGTCGCGAAAAGACTGAATCCGTCATTGTGTTGCAGAATGCTGCATCACGAGCGCATCAGCAGCAACAGCAGCAACAGCAGCAGCAGGCGCAACAGCAACAGCAGCAGGTGCAACAGCAGCAGCAGCAGCAGGTAAACGTTCTCAGCTCGCACAAACAAACAAACAAACAACAACTCCAACAATCAACCTTCAGAAAAGGCAAACAAACATTTATTTGAAAAGCTGCTACACCACAAAAAAAAAAACAAGAAAAAAAAACCAAAAGCATATATCGTTCTTCCATTCCAATTGTGTTTTGTCTTGGCGCCAGAAATGTAAACGTAAACCAAACCCAAACTACTTAAAAAAAAAAACAAAAACAACAAAAATGTTTTAAATTTACCATCGCTCGCTTTCTTCCATACTCACCCAACACAACACCACACACTCGACACACCACACCACCAGGCTCGAACACGCACCTGCGATACCGCTGGCACTCGTATTGTTAACAACATTTGCACTAACTGCCTCGTAAATAACACTCAAACACACACACACAAACACGCATCTGTTCCTAATCAAAAACGATGGAAAATTCTGTGGGGAAACAATCGTTCAAGAACCAGAAAATGCTACACCCTTGCATATTCATTTTTCATATTTACTGCTGCTTGTTGAGACTTTCGCTTATAATTTAGTTATTATCAGAGAAAAGTTAAATTTCCCCTCAAACGATAATTCCAGTCATGGTGATCTAGTACATTAGAAAATTGACATTTCCTGTCATCTATGGGTATTACGCAGCAGCAGAAATGCTGTGTAAAGTTACAGAAATACAACTTGAAAACTGAGGGACTTTCGTGCATTAAAACAGACAGAAATACGGACGAACATTGACTAAGATTACTCTCTCAGTTTTGTTGATAACGAGGGGCATTGCTGCATTACGCGCGGAACTATTCGACTTTCTTAACACCCTCTGCAAGGGGTATAATAAGGCAAAACTCATTTCGTATTATGTGTTCACATATTGTTGCATATATTAACTCGTATCTTTTCATTGCTTGAGCATGTTTTGGTTTTTATTTGATTTATTTTGGAATATTTAATGCATTTTTCATTTGTATGATCATTGTAAGATTTAAGCTACATCCCCCAGAACCCTAATTAAGTCTCTAATCTCTAATACTAAGCGTATTTGGGCTAATGTGCACTTAATCGATTGCTTTCCAACTGGTGAACAGTCTCTAGTCTGTGGTTAAAGTCAATAAACAAATGTACTTAACTTTAATCGCAAACACACAAATAAGAAGCAAAATTATCGAATGCTAATGAGATGTGATCCATTCAATAGAATAGAGTAGTGCAGGTTGAAGTTTTTTCTATACTTTTATCTGCTTGAAATCTTTGATTCCTAAATATATTCATTTGAGGGTGGGTTTTAGTGGGTTCTAGTGAGAATAGTGAGAGTTTAATTTAATTTGGATTTGGTGTGGATGATTTTTGTAAGAGTATTAATTGTTTGTTTCTAACTTTGAGATTTTCTACGGTGGTTAAAAATTTGATAGTTTGTATTAGAGATAACCAAAGATTATAGAACACATAAACCACACATCATACGAGTATTATGTGTGCATGGCTGACTAACAGACACGAAGAGGAAAAGCTTACGCTATCAATCCCTTCGTTTGACTTCTTACCTCACGTTTTGCCACCGCAGATCATCTATGCCATTTCTATGTTCTATAATCTTTGATTAGTACAGATAACCTATACAGTGGAATCTCTATCACTGCCAGTTTTAACTACATATGTAAATTATCCTGCTGTTGTGCTCTGCTCTCTGTAATATCATCTTCAACCAAAAATTCTACTGCTTAATGCTACAAAATTGTTTTAAAGCTTTTCTGTGCAAAGACGAAACTTGAAAATCAATTTAAAAAAAAAATCAATTAAAAGTTTGCTGGTTTGGTAAATGAATGAAAAGTGAATTAAGAAAAGAAAATATACGCCTATACGCCCTCCCAAACCCGCCCCCAAAACCACCTCGAATTGTTCTTGCAACTTGAGCAACGTTTGCCTGCTGAGTGCCGCGCGGAATGTGTTGCTGCCCCCCCTCGATTTGATCCACATAGTTTAAGTGCTTTACATGTCTAGCTTTAAAACAATTTTGAAACCATACCAAAAGAAAGAGAGAGAGAGAGAGAGTACTACGTACATATATGTATTAGATTGTAAGCTCTATGAAATAGTAAATGGATATTACACGCACAAGCCACCCACCCAACCGCACACACACTCTCTCCGTTCGACTATATCTTTATATATATCTGTATATCCATGCGAGGCTTTCGTAGAAGAAGGGGACCTATCCACCATATCCATTTGGCGACCTTCAGTGTCTCTCATTGGCATTCATTTATTTTGTGCTGCTACGTTCTTCGTTTTTTGATTCATTTGTTGTTTCTTATATCTGTTCGTTACTCCTCCTACTCAATCTATCTGTTTATCTATCTATCTATCCTCCCATAGACATTCTCTATAACCCCCCCCACCCCCATCCCCACTACCTAATTTCATTTTCAACCTCTATTCGAACCCCCTCAAAGTGTGTTTTACTTTGCTCTATACTAAACTGATTTTTGTTCCATCTTTCCGTCCCATCAGAATCGTGGAGTTGGCGGAGTAGGAGGCAGCGGCGGCGGCGGCGGCGGTTGCAGCAGCGGAGTTGCAGCCGATGGCAGCGTTTTGGGGACACCCGGAACCCGGACCAGCAGCGTACTGCCCGATCTGCTTAGCCAGGCATCGCCGGCCACACCGCCACGCCATGACAAATCATCCAGTGAGGAGGTGAGTAATACCAACAATAATCATACATACATATCATATATGGGCAATAAATATCATACTTTTGTGTGTTCTACTACCTCGTTGTACTTTTTGTTTTTAATTGATTATTTCATTGTGTTCGTAACCTTTGTGAGTCCTTACCTTATTTATGACTTGTCTTAATATCGCTGTCTGTTCCGAATCGTCGCGATCCACATTGCCATATCGAGTCATGCGCATTGTCTTTGTCTTTGTCATCAGAATCTTGTCCACAGATGGGAAGCGTTTTAAAGTACAAAGTACCTCCGATTAGATAAGAAATGATCAGTGCCAGTTCTTAAATTAATGCGAAAGTTGAGGAACTACATGAGGGAATCGTAGACTAAAACGTGAATGTAGAAAGGAGATTAGGAATCGCCATAGAGTTCCAAGTATTTGCACTTTTAAAGATTTCCCCTTATCCATACTGCACAGTGGTTCGATTACCTACTAACATGTAAACTCAAAAACGATATGTACTTTTTTTTTAGTATTCCCTTCCCATATTTTGTTTACATTTTGTGATCCTCAAACCCCACTAAAAAATACCCATAACCCCGTAACTAATTCCCAAAATCAATGGACGAGAATAGCATAAAAATAAACATACATACATACATACATACTTATTTGAAAATATATATTTCTTTGACGTGGGAGCAAAGTTTCATTATGAAGAGAGTGTAAAACAATGAATTGGTCGACAATTTTTAGAAAAGTATTTAAAAGTAAATTTGCATGAAGCATGATATTAAACAAAATATAGTAAAAATCTAAATTAAAACCAAAAAAAAAAATCAAAGAATGTTTAACCCCCCAAAAATTTAAAAATAGAAAAAAAAAAACACAGCGTTTAAACAAATTTCTTCTTCTTAATTGTGCTTTGTCTTTCCGCAACGTTTGAGCTGATGGCCACTACGATATATTCTAACCAATTACAAATCAATTACCAATCAAATACCAAACAAACAAAACATTACAATAGTAAGTATATGAAATAAACAAAACAAAACGAAACAAAACAAAACCAAAACCCCTAAAAACAAAAACAAAACCAACAAAAAAGCATAGCTATAGCTCCCAAAAAAATACTCTTCTTTTGTATAATTTTACTCTCTTTACTCCCAACATTTTGCTACCAAACAAATACAAAGAAAATACATTTGTGTATACATTACATAGCTTATAGACTTTATATATTTCTCAATCGTCAATTCATTTTCACAATGTGCCTGCCACATTCCCTCTGTTTGTGTATCTTATAAGTTCTTTCAAATGGCAAAAGGGAATTCCCCCCCCATACAATTATCTGCACTATAGGAATGCCTTTCAGTTTCAGTTCCAGTTACTTCTCCTTCTCTCCTCTGTACATACAATGCCATCTCTTTTTGATATCAATTTCACATATTATTATTTACCATTGGAGTGCTGTATGTGGCCCACTGTACGGGCTGTCATTGTCACTAACATTTCGTCAACAGCAGATCTGCCTACACACATACCCAAATCTACTGGGGAAAATATATCCCAAAAGATTTTTATTTCTTTTACACACACAACATAATTACGCTCAATATTTGTATACCATTGGCCTCAGGGGAAAGACTAAACACATATCCATTTTATATATTATTTAACATTTTCACGTTTCCACAAACTGTTAACAAGAATGAGATTCCTTTTTTTTTTGGCTATAGTTTCAATTGTAATTATTCGTTAGTTTAAGCATTCCTTAACCCACACAAACCACACGAACCCACACAAACCACACGAACCCACACACTCGCATCCACACCTTTGTAATGCACACCACACACGCACAAAGAAACATCCCAACACCCCAAAAGCATGTTGTAATTTATTTAATAAACTTTATTCTTTTTTTACATCTCCAGACTAATTTCAATTTTTTCTTTGCACTTTTTCTATTTTTCTTTTTCTCTATATAATTACCAAATAAAAACAAACAAAAAATCAATCAATATAAACAAATCAAACAAATAATCGTTAATCGAATCAAATCGAATCGAAAATCGTATATCGATATCACGCAGTATCAAGCGGCCATCAGTTCATCCGTGCATTCCACGCCATCGAAATCGTTTATCGCTAGCAGCGGCAACGGAGCCGTCGGTGGCCATGGCCTTGGGGGTGGTAGCGTCGTCGGTGGTGTGATTATTAGCAGCAGCAATAATTCGCCACAGTCGACGATATCGCTTGCCTCGTCCTCGTCGAATTCGCGACAGAACTCGCCAAAGAATTCGATCAGTAAGACGCGTTCCTCCAGCAGTATTACTAATTTATTGCACAAATCTGCTTCTTCCTCCTCTGCGAACATACACCATCTGACGCCATGCTCGTCGACCTCATCGAATGCCCCGCTATCGGCCTCGTCGATCGCCCACTTGCCACCGCACGCGTACGCGCTGCAACAGAAACAACGCAGTTTCCTTACCTTCGGTTTCGGGGCCGGCGGCTCCGGCCCGTCGCGTCGTGAGTCGCACGTGAATGTCAATGTGACGCCCACCTCTCACGAGGCGGCCAACGATACGCCCGAGATCCGTAAGTATAAGAAGCGCTTCAATTCGGAGATACTCTGTGCGGCGCTATGGGGTGTCAATTTGCTGATTGGCACAGAGAATGGCCTGATGCTGCTCGATCGTTCCGGCCAGGGGAAGGTAAGAACATCATTATAGTACATAGGACTCGAACTACATGGAAACTATACGCTAATACACTAATGCATTGATTTGCAGGTCTATCAACTCATCTCAAGACGCCGCTTCCAGCAAATGGAAGTGCTAGAGGGTCAAAACATATTGGTTACCATATCCGGCAAGAAGAATCGCGTGCGTGTCTACTACTTGTCCTGGCTTAAGTCGAAAATCTTGCGCACCGATGGACTCTCCGATGTGAGTCCGAGCCGAATATCCCCAACGGAATGTGTATTTGTAATTTGTATGTTTAATCCGATAGCAAGTGGAGCGTCGCAATGGCTGGATTAATGTGGGTGATCTACAAGGTGCTGTACATTTTAAGATTGTCAAATACGAAAGGATTAAGTTCCTAGTGATTGCATTAAAAGACTCTATTGAAATATATGCATGGGCTCCCAAACCATATCACAAATTTATGGCATTTAAGGTACGTCTCTCACTCTCTTTAAGTTTATTTTGTAATAACAATTTACATATGTTGATTTATCGTAGAATTTTGGTGAATTGGAACATCGCCCGCTTTTGGTCGATCTCACAATTGAAGATCAGTCGAGACTGAAGGTGATTTATGGCTCGGCCGAGGGTTTCCATGCGGTTGATTTGGATTCAGCTGAAGTATACGACATATATCTTCCCAAACATGTAAGCTTTAACCGACTGGGAGACGACATTCTTTGCCCGTGAATTAACCAATTACTTTCAGACTCAGGGTGCAATCATTCCGCATTGTATTGTGGCGCTTCCGAACTCCAATGGGATGCAACTGCTGCTGTGCTACGACAATGAAGGTGTCTATGTGAACACTGTGGGTCGTGTTTCCAAGAATATTGTCCTCCAGGCAAGTAGTACTACTCACATAGCGATAATCCGTTAACCATTGATTATGACTAACACTTGGTTTCTTTTGTTTTCATTTTGCAGTGGGGAGAGATGCCCACCTCAGTGGCATACATTGGCACTGGGCAAATAATGGGCTGGGGCAACAAAGCAATAGAGGTGAGTGTGCATTGAATAGAAATCCACTTTTAAATGGTTTTTAATGGCATACCGTTTGTTGTTGCAGATACGTTCCGTTGAGAGCGGCCATTTGGATGGTGTGTTTATGCACAAGAAGGCGCAGCGCTTGAAATTCCTTTGCGAGCGCAACGACAAAGTATTCTTCAGCAGTGCCAAAGGTGCTTCATCGTGTCAAATCTACTTTATGACGCTCAACAAGCCAGGCATGGCCAATTGGTAAAGCACTCTGCTCTGCTCTAATGATCTTGGCAGCCATCGATCGACCCAACCCAACCCAACCCAACCCAAAAGGCGATCGATTTGCTCAACCAGCAATGCATAAAACATTTTCTTCTTATTTTACAACAAAGCAACAAAATATCTAAAGAGAACATACACACCCACACAACACCCACACATAACGAAGATAATTAGTGAAGTTAAAAGTTAAGTGAGATGAGATGAGATAATGAAGATGAAAATGATATCCTATAGAGAAGAGAAACAATTCAAAACACCAACATTCATCACCACACCACAAACCACACAAACAATCATGAACTTGTGCTTATGAAAATTCACCACGACAACGTTTCAATTAGTAAATGTGCTAAGAAAACTCGATCCACTCGGAGGCGATGTGCGAAGCGAGCCTATATATATATATTAAAATAATCTATTTAATATTTAGAAACGAAAATGTCAAGCTCACTCGCAGAGGTTTTTTCGTCAGAACAGATCGGAAAGGAACGGAACGGAAACAGAAATCAACGATCTATATCCTTTCGATGATGTATGTATATTGACGTTACATAGCTGAACCCTGAGTCCCATAGATGGTGTGCTGCTATCCACTATCCAGATGGATCCACACACAATCGCAAACACACACAACCACACACACGATTCAAATCCATTTCAAATGTCGTTTCGAGTATGATTTCGCTTTCAAGTTAAACTTAAGTTGAAAAAAAAAAACAGGCAACGCAGCAACCGAAAATACACATATGTATATCGAATTTTTGCAATGGAAAACCACGTATATATATATAGTATATATTAATGAATAAATATATGCAATTAGTTTTTGTTCTTGGTATTATCAAATAGAATTTATTTGTGCGTTTCTGATTAATGAAAGTGTGGAAAGCAGAGGGAAATTTATTGTCTGTATGCTCATTTTTATGGAGAACAAAGCAAAGCAAAGCAAAATAAAAAAACGCCATTGTAAAAACTAAGTGATAAAAACAAAGTAAAAAAAATTAAATAATATTAGAGCAGAACGAATGTTATAAGCCGCAGCCGGAGCAATTATAACTGATTTAATGTAAAATAAAGCCGAAAGCAACACAAACAAAACAATGCTTACAACAATTGATGGATAATTAATGTAATTGAAAGAAATGACGGATGCACCATGACGTTTATAAGGAGAGCGCTACCTTATAATAAAACCAATTGGAAGGGAATTACAAACGAGAAATTAGTTAAGATGCATTTTTTACTGAACTTTTATACAGAGCAATGAAAATGAGAAAAACTAAAAACAAGGAAGAAACGAAGCTAATCGAATTGAATCGGGTAGAAGAAGAGAAGCATAAATTAAACCAAAATTCTATAAATCGTAGCATGTTAACAATGATAAAAACCAATTAACAAACAATCTCCTTCGCTTGTTGTACTGTGGGTGCATTTCCTTTGTGTTTTTAACAAGCTTCAATATTAAAAGTGGTCACGTTGCAATATATCTGAATATCTCTAATTTCCCCACACAATGAATGGATTATTTTCAAATATTTTAAATTAGATGGAGTCTAGTTTTTGTGTTGTTTTCTTAAATATCTCTCAACCTACATCCCTCCCTCCCTCGATTCCTCCAACACACAGCAAAAGGAATCGGAACGTAGTACACACCGTCTCATTATGAAATATTATATTTAAAATATTGTTTGTTTTTGTGTTATGAAAATGATTGTATTGTATGTCCCATTACCCCGTATCTAATAATGTTCATCAAAACGAAATGGAAAACAAAGCTGCACTAAAATGCAAATCTAAAAAACAGCAGAAAAGCAAATGAATAAAAGAATTAGTAATAAATGCTTACTTTATTTCTAAAATAAAACAAGTAAAATGATACAGAAATGAATGTAAATCTAATTATTATATATATATAATCTCAAAATTAAAAAGAAAAAACTATATGGAGCGTGGTTTAATTTATTAGTTTCAAGTATTTGGTGTCTGATCCCAGTCGGGCAGCGAGTCTCAATATCACCTGGCAATACCTAAACTACAAATCTACACACCTTGCTATGAATCGCCTTTTGGCTGCCCTGATTTATTAAAAAGAAACTCCAAGCTTGAAAAATCAAAGTTAGTTATATTTTTTAATTTAAATTTAAAAATGCGTTAAGCTGAACTATTTTGTGGAACCGGAACCATTCGGCAAAGTGCCGCCAAATATAAACTTCATCATCGGTTCATGTACAAAATTCCGATAAATTTTCCACTTTCTTGACTCATTTCCTTATGAATATGTATATATTTACTGGTATGTATTAATACTGTAGTGTACTATAAAAAATTATATTACCATCGATCTAACTGGTGCCTTGGTATATTTCTTTGGTATTTTTGCAACTCATACTTGAAGCGCAAAAATGAGTTTGCGAGCGAAAGCTTGGAACCGCACGGGTTATGGGAGGAAAGGTATGGACAAGAAGAATAAGCAATTCATAAGCAGTATTATTTTCCGCACCTAAGTTTGGTTTATTATAAAAATGAGATGATATGTTTCTGAGGGTCGGGCGGTATATTTTGTTATTTTTTTTTTTTTATTTACTGGTTACTGGTTCTCGGTTTCTGAGGTTTCTGAGGTCACTCGAAAAAACAAATCAAGTGAAATATTTATTTTTCCAAATATTAAGACACATTTCAAATTGACCGCCAAACTCAATTTAGCGCACCAAAAATACTGACATTTTTCGTTCTCAATTCGTGGAGAGTTTGCAAAATTTGCTCTCAATTCGTGGAGAGTGCTTTCTTTTCAGTGGAGAATAGAGTGTTTTTGTGGAGACTTTCCCCTCATTTTCGTGGTGTGGCAGCATGTTGCTGAAATTTTTCCCATACAAAATCAAATGTATCTTACGGGAACGCGTGTGGAATAAAGATTCATTGTTGCGTCATTCCATGCGCGTTCACGTATGATACATTTGATTTGCATGGGAAAAATTTCAGCAACATGGGGGAAATGAATAAGCAACATTGTTGTGCAACTTTGGCACGAAATGAGCAACATATCTGAATACCTTGGGAAAATGGATATAATGGACTTGAGATATTGCTTGTAATATCAGGCTCCAATTAATGCAGAAACTACTCAGGCTTTGTTTTCAAGATATTAACTAAATTTGGCAGCTCACGGGTTCCAATAATAGGTATCAGAACCGGGATAAATGTATTTATAACACACAAACATGTGCATTAATATAAAAATATAAAATCATAAATAATGTTTCACTTTAGCTTGGAACAAAACAATTAACACCAATTAAAAGAAATAAGGTATACAAAAGTACATACGCATAGAAGATACTTGGTTGACCAGCAACACTGACGTCACATTTAGTCAACATTTACGTTTTATGCTTTGGCCGCTTTTGTTTGAACCTTAATATGTAAACAATCCAATGAAAAAGAGTTCTAAAAACTAACCAATGCTGAACAAAATTTATGTATCTATCGGATAAAATTATTTGTTAAGTGTTGAGAGGGCCAACTAGCTAGTAATATTAAACGGAATATCAAAATCGAGGAATATCAACGTCGAATGTTTTGAAAAAACAATGGATACTATCGTGATAGTATCGGGCTCAAATTGTTATTAAAAAACCATTGAAACTTTTTAGGAACTTGTCCATTGTAAAAATTAGATGCCACCTGTCGATTTTTTTTACAAATTTGTCTTCGTATTTTATAGCAGCCAATCCAAACATATCAAAAGCGCAACGACTGTAGCTCGATACTATCATGATAGTCGGAAAACCGTCGATAGTAGAGACTAGCAGTAAAATATCGATACTATCGATAGTGCCCTCGATGGATTGACACCTCTACCGGCTGGCCCCGCCAAGAAGTGTATAAAGTGTATATATAAAAGTGTAGCGCGTGCGTTGAAAGCCCCAATAACAAATTTTGGCTCTCGCAGGGCATATTGGTATTGCAATAATACCAGTTCAAAAGTAAATATCGGTTAAAAAGTGCTAGTTTTAGTTATAAATCCAATCCAAATCCCGTGTCTCGTTGATGTTTTTTGTGGTGGTTTTGCTTCTTCTTTTCCCTCCCCCACCCTGTTGAGGCTGCTCGATGCTGTGGCAAGGCAAAAAGAGAGCGAAAGAGAGCTGATAATTCGCCAGGCTGGCTTTTGCTGATTTAACATGTATTTTTATCCGTACATAATCCATGTTTGTGTGTTCAAATCGATTACATCGTCTGCGTAGCATCCAATTTTGAGAGAGAGAGAGTGCCACCAAGAGCAGAAGATGAATGTAAAACAGAAACACGCGTTTTTTGCAACATAGATAAGTGTGTGAGAAAGAGAGAGAGACAGAGGGAAGAGAGCGCTGCGGCATAAATAATGGTGTGATGTTTTTTCAAAGCATAAAATAAAACAATCCAAAAAACCGCTAGGGCCACGAAAAGTTTCACTAGAAATTTATGAAAGCGCTGCGAAAAAAACCGGATATGTTAAGCTTTGCCGTTAAAAGCGAAGCTTACAGCAAAATGAAATGACTACGTTGGTGTGCGAGTGAGATAGAGTATGTGTGTGAAGTCGCGTGTCTGGCATGCAATTAGGAATTCAAATATTTCCCACTCCCTTATGCCGGCCCGCTGCCACCACCGGCACCGCTTCTGCTTATGCTTTTCGAACGAGAGGATGGCCACCAGACTGTCGCTCTCCCACTACCACCACCACCCACCCACCCACCCACACACTCAATCGGCTCTAGTGATAGTTGTTTGTGTATCTATGAACGCACAGAAAACAGAGATGAAGGTGTGAAAAGGAAGATGACCATAAAGCGTGCGCCATTCATGAATGGGATGCACTTGTGCGGGCGACTGCAGGCGGCAGAGCGAGATGGAGAGAGTGCTAATGGCTGATGCTGGTGAAACAACGGTTTTATTTTTGCAAAATCAATGGAATCCAGGGGAAGGAGGTGTCAGGTGGACCAAAGGGGAAAGGAAGGTCGCCAAGGCAATCTGAGGTCTGAGGAAATTTATGCGCGACAATGCGCGCTTTAAGCTTGAGAGTTTGTGTTTACATGTTCGTGTGAGCGGGAGATTAAAGTGAATTGAAGTTAAAGCTTACAAAAACGGGTTGGGCTGGGTTCGAAAAATTCCCCATTCCGAGAGTGGAATTAAAATGCAAGGCATAGTGGCATAGGCATAGTCTCCAGTGAAACAATATACACTATCCATTCCATTTCAATCTAATCGAGAATCTAAAATCGACTTTCCCCACAGCTACACCTGAACCAGCGCCAGAGCCAGAACCAGAACCTGATCCCAACATAATAACCACCAGCAACGCACCAGACCACCCACCACACCCACCAAAATGATCAACATGGACATTAGCGTGACGCCCAACTACTCGTATATTTTCGATTTCGAGAACGATTTCATACACCAGCGGACACGCAAATGGATGCTGGAGAACTGGACATGGGTGTTCTACTACTGCGGCATCTACATGCTTGTGATATTCGGTGGTCAGCACTTTATGCAAAATCGTCCAAGGTGAGTCTTAAAAATACCTTATATACATATTTATGTATGTATGTATATGCACCTAATAGCTTAAAAACACAACAGAGACATGTGTTTCCCAGCCCATTCCAGCTTCGGTGCAGAGTCTGCATTATTCTCATGTCTCAAGAACTTTTGCATTGCTTGAACCTTGACCTGGAGCTCTCCGCCTGTCTCTCCCCCTCTGTCTATATTATCTCTTTTGTGGGATTGTTCTCCTCCGCTAATTGCAATCACACATCTCCAACGCCCACATGGAAATTTGACTTTGACCAGCAGCTGCTGGCAACCGTAGTTGTTCTCTAACGCATATCTATCTCCCTCTACAGTACATTAACCGGCTATAGGAGTAGGTCTGTCTCGCTCCGACAGCCCGCTGACTTCATTCAATTTTCCGTGAGCCATAACTATTTATGCAGGGTACTCCCAGCGAACATGGGTATATTGTACGCTCCATTTTGCGAGGCTGGGTTTGGTGCAATTTAGAGTAAACTATTTTTACAAGCATATAATAGCCCGCTATGAATGTCATTTAGATGGGGTTTGTTTTTGCTATATAGACATAGATCTCTGATTATATATTAGAATCATAATTATATATAGACAGGTGTTAATCAACAAAAAGCATCCCCAATTGCAATCTATCAATATTTATCATCTGCGAGTACATCTGCTTCAATTGATGGGTATCCGATTGGCGTAATGCCGAATCATTTCCCTTCTGATTTGCTTTTTTGTTGCTTTCATTTAATTTCTCGTATGATTTGAGAGCACAAGTGTGCGATTTTTGTAGTCGCGGGCAGCTGTTGAGTTTCACCATGTAATTATATAAGATTACAGCTAATCAATATCTTAATATTAAGCCGTCAAGGCATGCCGCCCCTCGAGAGTCCACTCCAAGCCTGACAGTCACCCGACAATCGAACGTCGAATCACATTTCCACTTGCGAACAAAATCACCGGAAAAAGATTTACCAAGCAGGGCGCACATGCAAAGGGAAAGATAAAACCAAAACGAAGCTAGTTCCAAAAGTTTTCACATCGTATTTTGCAATTTTCAGAAATGTAAGCAAGCATAAGCAAACCGTGATTGTCGCTGTGATTGTCTGTGCTGCGTGTTTGACGATTGTTTCGTTTCGTTCCGTTTTGGTTCTGGCTCTGGCTCATTCTGCCTTTTGTTTTGCTGCTGTATCTTTCCCTATTTCTAATTGTCGTCATCAAGTTTTGTGACCAAATTAAGTTACGCTCGCGACATGCCATCTATGGGGGCTTACTCCAGTCTTTTCGTTTTTGGTTAGATCATAATTTGCACGGACTGTCAACTGTTTTGGGATGGTTTTCTGCCCGTTTAAAAGGATATATTCTAGAATTTTCGTACAGCTTGTAAAGCTCTGTAATTACTAGGAAGGTTCTATGGTAGAACACATTTTTGAGACCCACTTTATGTGGGTCTGTGAAGCGTTTTTACAGCCTTGACAGCTTGATTCACTCATTCAAATCTCAATAGATAAACCTTAAGCTTGAACTCATCACTTGCCAACCCGAAAATACTTGTATATAATATTTAGTTTCACATTCCATGCACACACGCCCCTTGAGTTTGAAAGAGGCTTGGCCCTTGGCTCAGACATTAGATGGATTGGCTGGATCTGTCGGCAATTTTTTGTTAACTTTACTTTACACTTTAATATTTTGTGGAGATGCCGTTTAAATATTTACGCTCATGCCGCGGATAGACGAAAGCCAACAAAATGTACAGAAAGGTGTGAATTGAACGCAACAATCCGGGAAGTAGGGGTGTGGGAGCTTGTGGGGCACTCGATAGAGGGTCGGTGAAAAGTGCTTGGAGTGGATTGTGGATCTTTGCCCAGAAACCTGCGTCACCTTTTTGGGGGGTAACTGCTGCAACGCCTCACCCACGTGCGCTTCAGCGTACTCTTAATTTTGGGTTTAGAGCTTTGAGGTCTGTGATTTCGTGTTTGTCCACTGATTCGGTGTAGATATCAAATCGCAACTACTATATCGCTATGCGCATACCTATAGACAGCGGACTGTTGCGTTATCAGTGGGACTGTCTCCGTGCTCCACGAGGCTTCAGCGCGGGAAAGGCCATCCGTCGCCCTCGGGGCACTGTGTATGGGGAACACATTGTTGTTATCAACCAGACCCAGGTACCGGCCCCAGCACCGTCGCCGAACACGAAACAGTGCGCCAGGCCTGGCAGTGCGCTCCCCAAACATATATTCCCCCACACACACATTTTTAGTGCTGTTCGGCCGGTCGTAATTGCTTATGATATCATTTGTGCCATGATTCAGAAGAAAAAATGTGCGAGGGATTGATTGTACAACGCATACAGTGGTCATTCCACAAGCGGATCGGCTTGTCTGCAAAGAAAATGTCTGGTGTATTCCTGTATTCCAATTTGTAACGCTGGAAAATTAAATACTTTTCGCTTATGAGAGCTTTCACTGTGCCTATATGTGTCCAATATGTGGGCTGCATTTGTACATCCATTCCATGCATATTCAAAGAGCAAACTACACGTAGAATTGGGTTACCATCGCACTGGCCTGCAGCCCCAAACCAACACCAGAATGGTGTTTTTTTTTTTCACCCACTTCAAGCAGCCATTAAAGTCATTAAACTGATTAGAATTGTGGTGCATACCAATACGATACCATGCCATGCCATGTCATATTGGTACCCCGTTTTACATACTCGCGTACTTCATACCACCGTTTCGTTTGAGGTACAAAGTACACACAGAACAGAAACTTCTCCTTCTCTCACTCTGGGGAGGGGAGCGCTTACGAGACATGCAAGAAGTGGGTGTGTCACCCCCATGCTAGGGTTAGACAATGCTACATTTGAAACAACTATTGGACAGGGGACAGAACAGGACAGGACCGGACATGATGACTGTACTACCAGGCAGGCAGGACATTCTATTTTGTAGATGTTCGTGTGAAAAAACTACACTGAACGAAACGAAAAATTGCAAATAAAAAGACACAGATAGAGAGAGAGAGAGTGTGTGAAAATATCTATTAAAGGGTTTGCGAATAATTTGTGGCTCCATGTGTGACATTTATCACTTGCTAGCCAAACGGTAAACTCTCTTGACCTGTGGCGAACCTTAGACTTTGAGTGTGTCTACTTTTTGGGAGTGCAAATTAATGGGCGTGCATACAAAAGTATCTGTAAATATATATGCATGTACACCAGTCTATGGAATGTGTATGCATGTGTGTGGATTGTATAATCATGTTATATTTTGATGAATTGAGTCATTCCTTGGCGTTCTTCCTGTGAAATTTCTCTGTTTTATTTTGTATCAGCAAATGAAATAATCGGAGCTCAGACAGTGGGCATGGGTGTAAGTGCACACAAGGGGCGGCAGAATTTGCCAAGAAACTATAAAAATAATATTGCATTTTTCACATTCATAAAATATATGTACACATATATATATTTTTTTTCATTTTTGCATATGAATGAAAGGGGTTACGCCCTTTCTAATGAAATGTCCACATTAATTTTATTATCTACATTTGCTTTGTAGTTTTAAGTACATACATATTTTAAATTTCAGACCGAACAACGTTAAAAAGTTCGACTTTTGGCTCCCACTTGCTGAAATGAGCCCCAGTACACGGCTTGTTATTTTATTTAATACTTAAATTCCTTAAAATATCACATATCCATATCAATGCATCTCAGCGGGGGCTAGGAATTGATTTAAAACACATAGTTTCTTGGTGAAAGATTCTTAGAATTCTTCGTAGATGCCGATTCTGGTAGACGCTTACCACTTGTTTTTTTTTTACCCGACCTAGTGTACACAGTACAGTGTACACCCTCCCACCCATTTAACCCCTTTGCTCTCTCTCGATATAATAATGTCCCTTAAAATGGGTTCCAGCACGCAATCCTCGTAGCGCACAGTGTGTCCAGAAAATGACTTGGGGAAAATGCGAATATGCGGAAGTTTTGCAATTGATTTGCAGCAATTGTATAACAATTTGCGAATTAATAGATAATTGCAGCGCAGCACAGCGCAGGCGATGACTTGACTTGACTTTGGGTTCAGCGTTTTGAGTGTGGGAAGGGAAGGGTGAAGAGTAGTGTCTGGTGTGTTGTGGGGTTGTCGTGTCGAGTTCAACAAATGCAATTACACTCGCAATTAGCAATTACAAGGCAGCATTTAGTAGACAATTACAGACCAAACAAAAAAATAAGGGAAAGAAATCATCGCCAGAAAGTGAAACTTTATTTGAATTTACTTTGTTGTTACTTTTTTATTCGGTGGAGACTACTTTATAGGAATGTGCATGCATACATATGCATATACTATAGATATGTGTGTATGTATGTATGTTTATGTATTAAAGAAGAAATTAACAACAACCGTTAAAGCAAACACAAGCAAGGGGAGTGGTGGAAGGTGAGTGACGAGCAAATCTGGTTAAAGTATGTCAACACAAAAAAAAAAGACCGAATTTCTTTATAGGCTTTCCACCTCTGGTTTGTCTCTTTGGATCTTCCGCCACGAGATCTCTCGCCGAAAGAGAGCGCTGTCTGTGTCTGTCTGCCCTTTGCTCTCGTTTCCTCTACAGCATCTTTTTCTCTCTCTCTCTCTGGAATCGTGGAATCATGCCACATTTACACTTTTACTTTCCACCTGCTTTCGTTCCGTTCCCCATCCATCGATAGCCCCTCATTAAATCCCAACTGGTTTTTGTAGCTACTAAATTTGGTATTTCTGTTGACAAAATTCTGTCATTTGTTGTGCTGCACTTGGAACCTGGCATATGTGTCACCCCTTACAGTAAACAAATAGTCATATACTCCCTGAAGCCCCTGGCCAGAACTTCCATGAAAACCTTAGTCAAGATATAAATTTAAAAAAAAAATAAAGCTTTTACGAATCAAGTAGAGCAATTTTGCATTGGGTTTGAGTTGAAACGAAGTTGAATCTAAATGTCGCGGAATGCCTTAGTATCTGCTTTTAGACTGTGATGTTTATACATAGTTCGTCAGAATTCTTCAGAACTCTACTTCTCTGCGATTGTGTGGGACCCTTGAACCCACTTATCTATTTGTCTTTCGTAAGCCTTTCACAACTTGGATAACAGTTTCAAAAATAAACTTGGTCACTGCCTGTGCGAACAACACCAATCTGTGTGTCTGTGAACCGCAAAGCATAATGAATAATAATTATAATGAATATAAATACAAAAAAATAAAACCAAAAAAAAAAACTTAATTAATGGCACAACATAATCGCCAGTCCCAGTTGAAATTTTGCAAGCCACAAACAAAAAGGTTGGCAAAAAACAAAACAAAAGAAAACTAAATGTGAGACAATGTCTAGCTATATATGTATGTAAACATATAACGATATACATATGTATATATGTATCATTCATACATACATATATACATAATTAAATATTTATAACTATATGCAAAAATCAACCTGTAAAGCCAATGCCAAAAACTAAACCAAACAATCGCGACAACCCTGTTAAACCCTGCAATAATAAACCGCACCGCCCCCCTGGCAACCACAGACAATAATCCCAGACTGCTTTGCCTTGCATAATGCTCTCTCTTTCTCGCTGTCTGTCTCTCATTTGACTCCCCTTTTTTATGCCTTCTTTTGTTTATATGTTTTGCCAAATACCGGTTTTCACTCTCTCTCTCTCTCTCTGTCTGTGAGACTGCAAAATTTCCGCTCCGCTCCTCTCTCTCGTTGCTTATGCAATTTTTCGCTGAAAGAAAAGAAAGTTCCACTCCACACACACACAGAAAAAAAGAGATGCCGATGCCCTGCCAGTCATAATTACTCAGCAAATATTAAAATATATATTTTATCGGGCAGATCGCAAACACCCAACCGGCGGTGGTCATCATCCAGCAGCGCTCCCCAACACAAAAGTAGGCGCCGGTTCCTGCCGCCAAATGGTGTCCGTGCCGGTAGAGTTGGGGGCGACCTGTGCCCGTGCAAAAATTTAGGCTTCAAGGAACGGCTTTTGAGGGCCGTCCCTTTGCCTAGAAGCCAATTACTACCGAGCGATTAGCAAGGCGGATTGGTTTTCCTTACTCATTAATTTCAGGCACGAATTGCTACAGGCCTAGCAGCCGGTACCTCATGCATGTGCAGCCAGAACCAGTTGGGAATTGTTCGAGCTGGAATAACAAAGCTTTTTGAAGCCCTTTTTGGTGGAGGATGTGATGGCATAGCAATAAATGGAAGCCTCTAGAATCGAGGAACTATAATATAGTATCATATATAGAAACCAAAGTGAACCTTTCCTTCGAGTGTGTGTGTTTTCTCTCACGGAATTGAGCTTAATTGTGATTAATGGAAATGATTTCTTAAAATCTTAAACTAGAATTCAGAGCACAAGGAACTCAATTCTTTAGTTGAACACTTCCGCTGCCAGAATGAAAACCCTCCTCACCATACCGCACATATGTGTGTACGAGTACGAGACAAACGCAGCTTAATTGTCTATTACAGTGGGACTTATCTATGCAAATCCGTTGACTGGCATTTTGAGTGAGGTTTTTGTATGCCGCTCGCCTTCGTCTACACTGCACAACGCTACACAACAAATATTTATGGCTCCTGGGCTTTCGTTTCGTGAGTTCTCGCTATCGATTGCTATTTTTGTTTGTTGATTAACTCATCGTTGACTCATTTGGAGCTGTTTAAATGTGAGAGAGAACAAACACTGCATTTTCTCCTGCATTCTGTGGAATTATGCGTCAGAGTTGCTTTAGTCTGAAACGCACAATGGCCCCATCCAGGTGTAAAAACAATGCATATTTGTAGGTAGGAAAACCGCGCACAATCACGCACAATCACACTGCTCTCTGATAACACTCGTTTTTTTCCGCTTAACTTGTTTTTTTGGGCAGGTGTTTGTGTGCGGATTTTTATGACTAATATTGCGGGCTAAGAGGTTTCTGGCTGGGATCGATAAGGTTTGCTGATTAGTCTGCCGTTAGGCTGCTAAATCTGACAGATTGCGCATTATTTAATAACTAGTTTCCGATTCTGATATGCCTCCAGACAGATTCTGTGATTAGCCCCGTTCCCCGTTCTCCGTTTTCCGTTCTCGTTCCCAAAACCCAAAAGCTCTTTGAAAGAGCCTCCATCAAAATAAACTTTTAAGCGGTCGATCATTAAAAACATTAAGATTGAATCCAGTCCTTGGGCTCTTTTAATATATTCCTCTATAGTAGAAATGGGGATTCTGGCTACTTTCAAGGCACGTGGCCGGGCTGATTGTTTCTGCAATTGTTTCGAGGGGAGGTTATCGCTTGTTGTGGTCCTAAGCTTTAGATTTCATTGACCCAACAATTCAAGAAATTAATAAATAATGCCGGAAGCTGGAAGTCATAAAAAGTCATTATCAATCTCTATGGCTGTATGGGTCTATGACTAGTTCTGTCCTTCCTGAAGGGTAAACAATCTGCGGCACGATCTCGTGACAAAACAGTGTCTAAAAATGCATCGAACAATCGTGATAGCTACATCATAAAGTGGCCTGACAAGCAACAACCACACGCTCCAGTCAGTGCTCAGATTTATAGAATGATTTTCTGTCTGGATTATGGATTATAGCCTAGCTTCACTCCCCCATTTTCAGGGATCATTTCGGCGATCAATTACTTGAGCAAACTTCTCTCGGAGTTTCGCATTGCGGGTGACCTTTCGCTAGGGTTGGGGTTGGGCTGTTGTTAATGCTGTCATTGCACTGCACAAATATTGCTCTTATATGTATGTAACTATATAGTACATAATGCACTTGATCTTTGACTGTCACGCTAGTTTGCTGCTAACAAAATAATTGAAAAAATTGTCAAAGGTTTTTACTTGTTGACTTTTTTCCGTTTTATTGTATTTTCATGTGCAATTTCTCACTTGTTATTGGCTTTAGGTAAATATTGTGTGTAGGGTGGTCTGGGGTGTCTCTCACCCTTGGAGAAACTTTTAGAATTTTTAAACAGGAGTTAACCTATATGATCTTTAACATTATATTTTCCTTCTTGTTTTCAGATTTCAACTGCGTGGTCCCCTCATCATATGGAACACAATGCTGGCGATGTTCAGCATTATGGGTGCTGCCCGCACGGCGCCGGAACTGTTGCATGTGCTCCGTCACTACGGACTCTTCCACTCTGTCTGTGTGCCCAGGTTAGTACAAATTCCATATCAATATCCCTTCCAATTCCCAATCCGCAATCAGATTCAAGGTTGCTTTTGCATACAATGAACGCCCGAGCACTTGAAACTGGATTGGTGGATGGGCGATTGAGACCCGTTCGATTTGCGATCACTGACCGATATTCCCTCTCGTTTTCTCTTCCCGCAAACTGCAGCTACATCGAACAAGATCGCGTGTGCGGCTTCTGGACCTGGCTGTTTGTGCTGAGCAAGCTGCCGGAGCTGGGGGACACGATATTCATTGTGCTGCGCAAGCAGCCGCTGATCTTCCTGCACTGGTACCACCACATCACCGTGCTAATCTACTCGTGGTTCAGCTACACGGAGTACACCAGCTCGGCGCGCTGGTTCATCGTGATGAACTACTGCGTGCACTCGGTGATGTACAGCTACTATGCCCTGAGGGCGGCACGCTTCAATCCGCCGCGATTCATCGCCATGATCATCACGTCGCTGCAGCTAACGCAGATGATAATCGGGTGTGCGATCAATGTGTGGGCCAATGGCTTCCTGAAGACACACGGCACACAGTCGTGCAACATCTCGCAGCGCAACATAAACCTCTCTATCGCCATGTACTTTAGCTACTTTGTCCTATTCGCGCGATTCTTCTACAAGGTGTACCTGTCGCCGGGCGGCAACAAGAGCCGTCGCATGGCTGCCACTCTCGCCGGCCAGAATGCGGTCAAGCAGTCGGTGGACCACATCTCCTCCTCGGGCGGCACTCAGTCGGAGGACCAGGCCGCCTATCTGCGCAAGGCAAAGGCGCAGTAAGCAACAGCAGAAGAAGGAGATGAGAAAGGAGCAGTGGCAGGAGGATCTGTTAACGGCTAAGGACCCATTTATTTTGTGTCGTTGTACACGTTGTTTTTTAATTTTAACCCCAGGGCCAGCCAGCAGCACACACACACAGAAATTCTAGAAATTGTAAGCAAAAAGTTGAAGCAGGTGGACAGGCAGGCAGGCAGGCATATACATATATGTATATATCCCTATACTGTACTATATATCTGATCATTTATGTATATAAGAAACAGGCAATCCCGAGAACTGTATGGCATGGGCGGGTGGGAGTAGGAGGAGAGACTGTGGAGCATGAAGCGTCGTACATTTAGCTGCTATATAGACTCTGTAAGGAATGTTGGAATGAGGCATCCTTCTATATGTATAAGGAAGATGGACATGATTGTATCCCCGTCCATTGCGGGGATCTAGAGTTATATAGAGATAGCCACACCAAAAACTCTCCAAAAAGTAGTTCGCTTCACAGGCTCAAAGATTCCTTCCTCTCCTCCGCATACAGATTCTGTACAGTTCTAGTGTGCTGTTGAGCCCCAAAAGAAAAAAAAGAGTCGTATATTTATATATACCAGTATATATAATTTAATTTGCAGATTTATTGACAGCCTCCCGATGTTGATGTCGATTCCATTACGATATTTGCGTTGTCTTCTCAGGTGGGATTTGTGTTGCCTCCTAAGTTAGTTAGAAATTCTCAAGCTCTCACGCTATCCCCCCACTACATGTATGTGTACTATATCCAATTGATAAACTGTCTTCGCATTCAGTCAGAATAGGAGCGAAGAAGAGAGTATAGCAGCGAGCAGCGTAGTTGGGGATCGGGTCAGAGACGTATGTACTCTAAGTCTATATACATTAACAATATATATTTATATAAACTATCTAAACGGATTATTAACGAAGCAAAGAAACAGAAACGGAACCAGAAACAGAAACAGAAAACACTATAAGTTAGCATATTGTTCCACGAGCCACAGATCGTACAGCAAATCGTTATTTTAAAGTAATAAAGTGTTTTTTAAAATGTGCATCCATTTAACACCACCATTTAACCGCAAAGATTAAGGCATTACACTATATTCAGAGTTATGGTAGGGGAAGGCATTTATTTAGTTAACCTTTGCATGCATTTTTGAATACTTTTTCATTTGGAAAACAGAAAAAAAAAACGTACAGTTTCTACACACACAAAGAGAAGTCCTTGAACGTAACAAAGCTTAAATTATATATTTATATTTGTAAGCAAAAGAGAATGTGGTTAAGGTTGAGATGCGAGAAGGCGAGACGCAACAGAGAGAGAGAAAGAGAGATAAACCAAGGAAATGAAAAGCAAAGTCCTACTTGAAAAGTTAATTTAGTGTAAACGAGGAAACTGTAACTGAAACTGAAACCGAAAGATGATCGAGTGAATCGGGAGGGAGGATAGGATGGGTATGGATCGTTCCTCCCGATGATAGATGATACGCCGTAGTGGTAAAAATTAAAACGAACAAATTGAAATTTTTTGTCGGGTATACTAAACAAAAGCGAAAAACAATAAAAAAAAGCTAATAATGTTTGAAAATGCAAAAAAAAAAAAAACAAACGGATAAATAAAACGTAACAAAAGGAAAAGGATGGAAAAACAAAAATCGAATGTGTTTCTCTTAGCTGCGGGGGAAGAGGTTTGTTTTAACGTAATACAGAGCAAAGCTAATTTTTAGTTTGAAATTCCGTTTTAAGTCGACATGACTATCGGCGAGCGCCATGCACGGAAATAAGTGGAAATATCGAACTACACTTAAAAGCTGCCTGCTACAGAACAACAATTAATATTAAAAACAAATTGCTGGTAAAATGAAACCGAATATCGAAATAGAGGCATTTCATATCGTGTCAGTCAGTATATTTACGGTATACTTCTGGGGTATTTTTGGGCTCATATTTAAACGCAGAAATGAGTCGGGAGTGCGTTTTGAGTGCTGTTTCGACTGGGTCATGGCAAGGTATGGCAGGTTTAAAACGGCAAAGCTTTTTTTAAGTGCCTCGTACATTGCTCACCTGGCCTGAAGGATGAAATATACCATGAATTTTGTGTATTATGTGGGTGAGGTGGGTTTTATCCTAAAACCTCTGGATTTTGTGACGTCATACATCACACCTTATACCCTTATCCTTGCGACGCAATCAAAAGTTCAACTTCAAGCTCAAAGCTTGAAACGTGTAATTACCGCGAAAATACAAATAAATAACACATGATAATACGAGTAAACAGTTTTATCAGATGATATGTTATGTTTTTACAATAATTTATGGTTGAATTTATGAAATTGATAAAATGAAACCGAAAATAAAATTATCAACGCATCTTGTCGTGTCCGTCAGTATATTTACGGTCTTTTATAAACAAGATAAGGTATACTTGGGTATAAGTATATTTAATCAAGTTCCAATTTATTTTTCAATATATTAAGATATTTTTTAAAATGACCGCCAACTAACTTCCCCGTTTAGCGCACAAAAAATACTGACATATTTCGCTCTCAAATCGTTGTGGTTTTTCAAAATCTCTTTTTCGTGGTGTGAGCCGCATGTTCCTACGGGAACCCGTAGGAACGTAGATTTCAAGCTCCTATTAATGCAGAATATTATTATGTTTCAAAGCAGCCTGGAACAACAAATTTAACATCAATTAAAGGAAATAGGGTATACAAATGTCCATACACATGCAGAAACCTGATTGACCTGCAACAATGACGGAATGTGACCGGAGTTCACACTTACGTTTTATGCTTTGGCCGTTTTTGTTTGAACCTTATTATGTAAACAATCCAATGAAAAAGAGTTTTGAAAACTAGCCAATCATGAACAAAATTTATTGAGCAATTGGATAAAATTATTTGTTTAGGGTAGAGAGGGCTCACTAGCTAGTAATATTAAACTGAATATCAAATTAAGGAAAATCAACGCATCCGTCAGTATATTTACGGTATATTTTTGATAATAACAAGGTATATTTCAGTATATTTCTGAGGGTCGGCGGTATATTTTGTCGACATGTCCGCGGTCACACTAGTGCACACTGGTGCTGCGGGCTGCTGTTAAAAAAAATGCTTTAAACAGTGAAAAGTTCGTTTCGTTGTTGTTGTTCCAGCTAAAATAATGGTAAATTCGATCGGCGGGATATAAACAAGCCGTGTGAAAAGTGGGAGAGCAAGCGACAGGCGGAGAGGCACCGAAGACAAAAGTGCAGTTTTAGGGCGTGTTTGTGCCCCCCCCCGTACTCGCTCCCAGTACCTTCCCATCCACCCGCAGCAGTCTGCTGCTCAGCGGAGATGCAAAAAGCTAAAGCTCCAGCAAACATGCAACAAATTATGCATCTGCTGCTGCACCTTGCCTAACAAATCGAAAGTGGGAGTGAGAGAGAAAAGGTTGGCGTAACATTTCGCAAACTTCCTTCTTTTCGTGTGTCTCCAATTTTTTTGTCTACTCCAAATTGCCAAGTGAAGTAGAAAACGCAGAAAGAGCAGAGAAGAGAGTGGAGAAAGAAAATGCGCGAGTGTGTGTGTGTGTGGAAGCAGCAGAGAGCGAAAAATGAAATGAAATAAAATAAATTCAAGAAAATTCAAAGCAAAGGCAAACGCAAATAATTGATCGCAAGTGTTGGTTGAAGGCAAGTGGAGAGAAAAAAAATCACCGTATCGTATCCCAAGGCGGAGCGGTGCAAAAAGAGTGTACAAATTGTTTATTGCTGCGCAAGAGCGATAGCAACGACCCACAACCCACCACCCAGCCACAGCCACAGCAGCTCCCAGCTCCACCTCCACTTCTGAAATGGGTGCTCAGCAGGGAAAGGAGCGCGGCTCGCATTCGAGCGGTGGGGGCGGTGGTGGCGTCCCCGTCAGTTGCATTGGCCTCTCCAGCAGCAGCAGTCCCGTGGCCTCCGTCTCCCCCCATTGCATCAGTGCTGGCAACAGCAGCAGCGGCGGCGGAGGTCCACTAGGGGCGGGCTCCACACTGCGTGGCTCACGCATCAAATCCTCGACGGGTCATGGTCATGGCAGTGGCGGTGGGAGCAGCGGAGTCGGTGGCAGCAGCAGCGGCGGCGGCTCTGGAGGATTATCACAGCGCAGTAATGCCCACAAGGATGCGAGGTGTAATCCCTCCGTGGGACTCAACATATTCACCGAGCATAACGGTAAGTGTCGAAGGGTGTAATCGGGTTATGCATCGGATGCATGTCTGCATGCCTGCGGTAGAAAGAGACAGTGTACATAGGAAGATGAATTAAAAGAAGAGCCCCCTGGCACCCAACATTGAAATGCACTTAACCAGTGTATACACACCCCTTAACAAACAGATTAATGCATGTCGAATATACAGTGTGCTCAGGTGTAAATATGTATGCATCATGTAAATTCTGGGATCCACATTGGATTAAAGTTTGTAAATAATATGCATACAAAATAAGCGAAACCCAAAATCTTCTAGTGATGTATTATTGTTCATTGTTCATTCTTTGCTGTGATGCACAGTGTAGTATTTCCTTGTACACATCAAATGCAGCTACACACCCACACACAAGAACACGCACGCACTTACACTCTCTCGCTCTCACTCTCTTCCTTGCGCTGCTCTGCTCTCCCTGCTGCTTTCCAATTGAGCCAATTTCTTCATTTCATTGCTTCCGATTATCATAGAAGGCGGAATGTTCGTCCGTCTCTCATTATTTGTTGTTGCCGGCTAGTTGTAGTTGTTGCTCTGCTTTCGGTTTGCTTTGGGATTTGCTTTTGTTTACAGCAAAGAGAGAAGGGAAGCCGCCGTCGCCGACATGTTCCGCACGCTTCTAGTGGGCGTCCGCTCCCCGCCCTTTGCTCGAGTTGATGGAAATGTTGAGTCGCCCGGCGTCTGTTACAGGGCGGTTTTAGCGCACCCCCATGCCCCTGCCCCTGCTTCTCCTTCATCTTTTCCATCATCCTGCTGCAGCACTCTCCACTCTGCACCCTTATCCCTGCCACCCGCACAGTGGTTGAAATTGTGACCTACGCATCCCAATCCCACCCCCGCTGACAGTGGCATTTCCTATATTTACTTCCCCTCCCCTCTATGGTTCTTCCTCCCATTTCACGCACTCACGCACATTTTTATTTGCCTTATTTTCGTTTGCTTTTCCTTTTCCCCTTGTCTTATATTTTCCTATTATTTGCTTTGGCAAGTTGCAACATTTCCCTTTCTTCATGTCGCCTGTTTCCGCCCTCTCATCTGTTCCCCCCCACTTCCTATCCGTTTCTAATAGCTTTTTTAAGTCCCTGTCGTCGCCATCGGCGCTGTTGTCCTACCGCAATGGGGGCTTCCATTGAGTCTTTTGGGGTTTTCGGATTGGGATACAGGAAAAGCGTTTGTCCGTTTTGATAGTTTGATAATTTAGTGCATTGGGAGGCGGAGAAACATTAATACATAATGTGGAATATTCCATCACCATTCCACCTTCTCTCTTTGGAACTCTCTTTATGTGCTCTTTCTGCTTCTTATCTCACTCTTGAAGAGCCTTTCCTTTGTCGCTCTCGCTGTGATCCAGCTCCTCAAGCAATTTGTAATCAATTAATGTTATATTTATTATTATTAGTCGCTGTATGAACTCCAGTCTCTACTGATAAGCCAATTTCCATATAAATATGTTTATAGCAAGCCCGGATTGAGTCATGCATCTCCATGTAATGCCAGTTCCGCAGAAAATATCGTTAAAATGCACACACAATAGGAACAACAACATGATGACATTTGCGAGCTTTGTGCGAGAAAATTCCCACAAAAATATCCCAAATTATCAAAATGTACCTAATCCATGTTCGTGTGAGTGCGGATAGAGAAGCAGTGCAGTAGAGGTGCATGTGGGAGCAGGAGGAGAGCAGATGCAATTGGATTTTTATTTCGCTCTTTTTCATTGTTTGTTCGTGTGTCTGGTCCGCCTGCAAAATGCAATTACGGAATTACAATGTAAAAACTGTGTCTGGGGCTGCCGATTACGGGTTCAAGCCGCCAGCAAACAGAAAACAACTACCAAAAACCGAAAGCACAGACTCACCGCAATAGTTGGCAGCGCCAGGTCGATCTCAGGAGAGAGAGAGAGAGTGGGACAGGCAGACAGACAGTTGCGGAACTTCGCTCCAACTCAATCACACTAACACACACACACACATACACTCGATAGAAACAGCTAACATGACAATTGACGACACAGAGAGAGGCACAGTGGACAGAGAGCGGTCAAATGAGAGCTGAACTCTAAGCCTGGCTTAATCACAGTTATTTTTCCCACTCATCACCCCAAGGTGCACACACGTTGTGGGGCGGCGGCAGTTGTAGTTTCTGTTACACGAGACAAATGTAATTAGATACCTTTGTGGGGGCGGAGAAGGGAGACGAAAGGATTGTGGGAAAGAACTGGCCGAAGCTGGATGCCTCAATGGAGTTTGCCAATCGTTATTCCATGCACTCTCCCACCACACGCTAACACACTGGCAAATACAAACGCAAGTTGACGACAAGAGCGACGTCTCAAAAATAGACTCAAGTGGGAGAGGCAACAACTCCTTTGCAAAGCGCGAGAGCGAGAGACAAAGCGAATATGAAGTGCTGTTTGCTGTCTCGGCCTCACTCCCTCTCATATACAGTCGCATGGTAATCTGAGTAGCCTTGTTATACCCTTGCAAAGAGTATTATGAATGTGAGCAGATGTTCGTTGGGCACATAAGGACATAATGCCCCTTGTTTAAAAGCTAGCTGGCTGGAACTTTGCACGGAATAATCTTTTTACTGCACGTAGTATACAAAAACCTACACGCTCGGAAACTATCGAATGGAGCTACCATAGCAGCGATCTGCAAGGGTATTTAAAGCTTCGTCATCCTCTCTTTCTCTCAGTTGTTGGTGTGCGTGTTGGTGTTTGACACCGGGATTGCTTGACATGCAAGCGGGAAATTATGAGTCGAGGCAAATGAACTTTTCACAAGGCTAATGGGCGGAGCGGAGCGGTGGGCAGGAGGACACAAGGCAAACAGGTGACGCAGCAAGGAATGGAAATTGTTTACTCTTTAGCTTTCCCCCCCCACCCCCAACAAACCCACATACACCAACTCCCATAATGAATAAGTCGCATAAATATTTCTTCAATCATTTTATATGCTCAAACATAATTGTTGCCATAAAGCCACTCAGGCAAAGGGTGTGCGCTGCGAATGGAGTGGGATGCAAGCAATGGGGGGGAGACGACACATGACGAAGGCGTTGTCTCCATTACCACTTTGTAAGTGTGTTTCCTTTTCTCTTTCGCCGGCTGCATTTCTATTATTAGCCTTCCCCCAAAAGGAAATGTGTATCTCTTTATATAAATTTCCCTTACGCTGCCAGATATGGAAAGTTGGAGCAGTGGGAGCGTAAAGAGAGGAGCGTAGTTGGAATGTGCTGCTCATGGGGGACAGAGATGTCTCCTATAAGAGGAGAAAGCCCCCATTGGCATGACCTTTGGCTACGCTTCTGATTTCCACTGCAACACTCAAAGTGCACTCTCATCATCGTGATACTTTGCATGTTTTCACTCACTCCATTCCATCTCTCATTCTCCGTTCCGCGGGCCAAAGGTACATGTGTATTCGTGTCGTTGTTGTTGTTTTCGATCAAGCTCGTAAATCCTTTCGTGCTTCATTTTGTTTCGTTTTCTTTTTCGGTCCCTTTCTTGTTGTTGTTTGCTGTTTCTCTGCATTGCAATGCGCTTTGATGTTTTATTTTTAGAGCAACTCCAAGGCGCTGCCATTTCCAGTTGTTCTCGCTCCCGCACCCCACTCTCTCGCACTCTCACTTCAGGCCCTTCCACTTGCATGGACTGTCAATCCGATTGGAATAACAGGGCTACTCCAACAGCTGTTCGACGGTTGCTTACATTTGATTTAGAATTGGACAGCTATCAGGGAATTTTGAGTGAATTTCTATTCCAATTTCCATTCCGGATTAATATTGGAATTCTCGTATTTCCATTAAGAACTTGAGCATTCTCATGAAATTCCCTTTACGATCTGTTTATATGGTTAAAGATCATCATAAATCTTACATCACTATTATTTTGATGTCATTTCCGTATTAAAAATATATTTCACTATTGCCATCCCCAAGTTCCAGGCACTAAATCTGTTGATTGCCCAACTTTTGTCGCCGCCTCTCGAATTTTATGTAATTTTCGTTTTTCCAATTTCGCATTCCCAGTGGACCGTATAGTGGTGTCTCCTCCTACGAAAAACCTATTTGCCCGCATTTTTATTTTTGGAGAATCGCTCCCGCCCCCAGAGCTGTCGCCCCACGATGAGGTCTTTCGCCTCATTGAAAATTGTTTGCATAAATTAGCTGACGAAAAAAATAGGAGGAAACCGAAAGAAATTGGAGAGAATGGGGAGCGTGGGGTAGAGGAAAACAAACATAATTTGTAAACAGCTGAAAAAGAGACAAGAAAAAAAAAATATTTATTTCTGGGAGCGGAGTGTGAAAGGAAAGCAGGGGCAGACATGTCTGAAGTGTAACGGCAACTAATTAGAAGCCAAAAATGCTTCATTCTACCATTTCTCTTTACTTTCTTTTGGTTCATTTACCCTTTGGGGAATTTTAGTTTTGGTGTGATGTTTGTACGGCTTTGAAGAAGACTCGTCCAAATAACCTGAACTGAAAAAAAAGGAAACTGATTAAGGGTATACAAACTTCGTTGTAGCATAGTTTTCCATTTCGCTTCTTTGTTTCGTTGTGATTATTTGAGGTCATAAATATTGACGCCACTTGATTGATGGATACTTGGGGCATATACAAACACACATGCATATGCGCACACACACAGACACCATCTTTATCTTTACCGTTCGATTATGAACATGTCCCTAAGGGCAATCAGAGGGGACGAAGCATTCAACTTAATATATTTATTTATAAATTTTGGGGTTTAATAAGTAGCAATCCCCAAAAGCAAACATTTGTCCCCTTTGCCGGTGTACTCACTCCCAATCTTTCGTTAGTTTATTAAATTGAGTGTATTTCCCCCGCTCTCTCTCTCTCTCTTACTCTCTCTTTCGCTGTTTGTGTGCTAAACAAGTCCACAAGGTCAAATAAATCAGCAAACAAAAACATATCACTTCTTTTTATATATTATTTATTGTTGTT